CTTTCTTTCTTTCTTTCTTTCTTTTTCTTTTCTTTTTCTTTCCTGATTTCCAGTTTTGCTACTCCCGTAGTCACAAAATAATGCTTTTAAAAATATCTTAAAGGAATTTCAAAATACCTTCATTATCGTATATGAAAATTCATTTAGTTTTGGTATTCTGTTTTGCGCTATCACAGTCGAATCCACATCAGATCTAGCCTACATGGCAGGCATTCCTGGCCTCGCAGACTATCATAGATCGGGCTGTAATGATTAATCACTGCCAAAACAAAAACAAAATAAACAAAACAAAAAAGGAAAACGCATTTTGAAGATCCGAGGAATCGCGGCGGATGGCCGTGGGTGTTATCTTTAGTTCGCCGTGGAAGGACCTACACTTCGGCTTGCGCTTTTCAAGAATCGAGCGCTGAGTAAATTCGATGTTTAAGAAAACTTACAAACAAGGTTTTAAATTCAACTTCGCTAACGAGACTAAAACTCATTGCCACCGGATGTCATCCTTCAACTGCCAGAAAACGGGTAGACTAAACCTTTCCATTTGCATCAGTAGAACGTAAGTGGGTTGATAGGAGCCTATCTATTAGTGTAAGCACATCTAAAACCAGACAAAACAGTTTTTGTTTTGGAATGCAGCAAACACCATTTTTTGGCCACACATTTAGCCTTTGTGGGGTTCGGGAAGGGTGGCTGTGGAGGGGGAAAGAGAGTCCCAGACCAACGGATAATCTAGCAGCGGTGTTTTGCTGAGACAACAAGGAAAGATCAATGCCAAAATATTGAGATTTCAGCGCGGCACATTTTACTATTCATTGTCATATCTAGATCTGTCATCCTCGATGCGTCAGTAAGTTTAGCGGTTCATAATCAGTGATTGCTAGTTATCTTAGTCCCTGATAAACAAACGGCCAGTTATTGTATAAATATGATAAAGATATGAAAGCTTTGTTTTCTGGTGAAAATCTCATAGAAAAGTGTCCATTTTTGGCCTAAACTTCCGCGTACTTACGTATCGCAATTGGTTAATTATTGTAATTATAGCAGGTGTGACGTCAAATGCGTGGTACTTTATGACTAACAGGCGCAATTGGCTCGCTGATGGATGATCATAAAATGCCCACTGCCCGAAATGAGACTCAACTTACAGTTCACCTGTCTCCGTCTGGCTTGCTTGGTATTCTTATTCCCGTGTACAAGAGATTTGATAACATAGAATTTGATAGGATTTTGCTGATTGATATGACATAGAAAACTCAAGAAAGGACATTTTGACAGAAGAACGATAGAGTTTCCGCATTGGTTTTCGAAGCGAGAGGCAAGAGGGGCAATGCTATCAGATATCTGGTGTATGTCACGCAACACATAGGCCAATCATCCGCGCTCCCTTCCACTCAAACGACACTGTATATTTCCTTGCCATAACAGAATTGTTTTAATCACCCAAGATTAATTACTTGTGAGTTTGGACTTTTTACGGTCAACCAGCTTTGAGCCAAGGCTTGAATCATCTGCATGCTAGAGCATCGGAGCGTTGTGTTTACAAAAACCCCTAAACAAAGCCAACAGTAAGGTGTCGCCTTGAGTGTAATGGTTAATTAAAAGCCATGTCATGTCAACAACAGYCTTTCATTAGAAATTAGAAATTCGATGAAGAGCTATATTTGGATCTCCAGTGATCATATCATAAAACTACACTTCGAAACCAAGCTGTATCCCTCGACGATTTTGAGTCATTCAAGGAACACTATTTTTCCCCACTTCGGCCTTGTAATAGGATTAAAGCAAGGCTATATTGAATGTTGACTAATACGTTCGCGAGCAACATCCTACATAATCATCGGTTGAGCAAGTTCTAAGAGTTGAGCGATTTGTTGGTACTTATTCACTTGTGTCTTTGACCGGAGAGTACTGAGCTTTTACCAACAGATGTGAAGGCAGTCCGGTTATACAGTTTCTTGTGTTATTTCCGCCTCGACGATCGCTCGAAGTGATGTTTATGAAATATGCTCCAAGCAAGACAGCTCGATAATTCCCAGTTGCTGAACTGTACGCGATGAGGCTGGGGGAAAGGTCTTGATGACATCAGGCGAAAAAGCAAAAGCATTTCCAAGGAGAATAACAAGAAGGTATGCTAAAGCTGTTTACATGCCGTTCAGATACTACAGTCATCGAAGACGACGAGAAAGATTACACTAAGGTTGACCTCGACAAACACAGACCAACTTACAAAGTCAGATACCTTGGATGTGAAGAGCTGTATAAACCGGACTTAACCCAAATGTGCGAGACTGTGGACGATATTTACACAAGACAGAGAAGTCGATTTAGAAAATTAACCCGTTGTTCGTTAGTAATTACCAAGGAAGCCCTTATCTTACGAGATCCTGACAAGACAGAGGACGAAGAGAGGGGCTTTAGTCTCAAACGAATACTATATTGTGGTGTTTACGGTAGACATCAGAAGTTGTTCTTCTACAATTATCAATTTGGAGTGAAAGGAGATTTAGTGAATTGCCATGCTTTGCTATGTGAGACAAAAGAAGAGGCAAAAAGCTTGGCCAAAGTTATTTCCAAAGCATTTAGAATCCAAGCTCAGAAGGCCCATCAAGAGGACCTCGAAAACCGAAAACTACACGCGAGGGGTCTCAGCCAAAGTAGTCTATCGGAACAGAGAAAGTATTTTGATTTAAAAAACTCACGCGGGACGCTAAGCGCTAGTGAAGAATTCCAACCGAAGGGAAAAGGGGAAAAAGATACCCGGATTGGTAGAAGTTACGGGATACATGATTGGGAAATTACAGATTCTTCTAGAGACGATACGAGCATGAGTTCGTTTAACGCTGAGATACGAGATATAATGGAGACATCTTCCATTACCAACTTTAACGAGATAGAAGAGGAATCTTCGAGTGTAGTCGAACAAGTTCAACTAGTAGACGGAGCTGCAAATAGCGAAGACAATTCTAGCCAAAAAGACGCGATAAATACTACGGATTTTTCGTTCAATATCAAAGATATCGAACATTGGTCGTTGGTTCAGAACTTATATTCCACGGATGTGTAAACACTTTAGAGGTAATGTTATTGATTTAACGCTCAAGTTTATTTTGATATGAAAGCCAGTGAAAGCTAATTGAACGGAATGCCGATTCCTTGGGAAGTAAACTGTGTCTAAGTAAATTGTGCTTACTTGTGTTCTATGGAATATAATTGAAGGCAATCAAGAAATATCAGGGCCGCCCCAGTAGTATGTCACGCTATAACTGCTATTGTAATCGCGTCTAGTGCACTGATGGGATGATGGAGTATTGCACGTAGCATTGGAATTATCTTCACTGAATCCTTCATGCTAGTGTTTCAATCTACTTATGCACTGCCAGGATATTGTAAATACTTCCAGGATCAAGTATTGGAGAAATAAAACCATTCTTTAGGAATCAAGAAGGTGTTTCTGTCGTTTAAAGTTTATATAAACACTGCGCGCAGTCATGTCGGCTCAACACAACATTGACTTAACAAGACTTCTTGGTGCAATCGGAAATCTTATTCAAATCAAAAAATCCTTTTAAAATTCAACTAACTCTTATTCGCAAAAGATTTTCTTTCGTCTTGTAAGACGTGTGCTCAATATTCTGCTTGACATTTAGGGATTAAATGTTGAAGGTATTTGTGCTATTTGGGGTCTTAAGCATAAAATCGTACAACGAATATAAAACTCTCTCCAGTTATTGATGCTCAAGCTTATTATATGACAGACTGAATACCCATCTCTTGAATGTCGCTCGTGTAGAACGACGCTTAGTGCAGAGAGCTTCCAGGATCGCTCTGTAACATTCAAATGATCTTCCTGTGTGTAGAATAAAGAAACTATAAAACAAATTAGTCTAAACAGATAAGTTTTTACGAATAGTGAAAATGGATGGATCGTAAAAGGTCAACCGGGTGAATCTCTGGCAGAGTCAGGATGGATTCAGTGAATCCTTCATTTCATGGCATCTGACCACAAGAATTTCTGATTTCAAACCATTAAACCATTAACTGTCCTTAGACATATGCTCGCTAAATAATCAGAAAAATATTTACAAAATGAACAAATATGTACACGTTTTCCTTCATCTCGCGAGATAATTGAATTAAATAGTAGACAAGCTACTTCTTCCTCTGCGTCAATGCATCTTTAAAAATCAAATTAATTAAAATATTATAAATTTTATCTACTTCCCCCAAATTGGTTCTAAAAATACCCACATTATTGTCCTTTTTTCTTTTATCGTTTTATAAGATTAAAAGGAAAGAAATTCCGCTTTACGTATGTTTAGAGAGCAATTTGTGAAGTTTACAAATGCCATCAATTAGCTTCTTACGAGTAATGTTTTTATGTGTTATTCATATGTTTTCCACGATTATTTCGGTTAGTTCAATCAAATTGTATAATAGTTGTATTTTTAAATATATTTTATTCAGTCTTTGTCATTATTCTCTTTAAAACAAAGTTTTACATCTTAATGATTAATTTGGTGTTAAACATTACGACTAAATGCTTAAAAATCCCGACAACAAATGTTCAATAGTAAAACAACAAACCGGAAAATTATATTGTATTTATACCGTCATGCTTTTACTTCCAATGAATTCGGTAATTTTGCGTGTATAAACTCACGGCTGCTGAAATTTTTGCAAGAAAGTGAAAAAGCTAAGAAAATTTATTGATAAATGAGCCAAGAATTGAGTTAAAAACTCCTCGGATTAAAACTGTCAGTCATATCGAAACTATTCGAGCATATATTTAAAATAAAACATCCGTTTGTTTTGCAACTGTTTTAAAATATAGTTCTTTTTTTTATGTGTTTGACTCGTATTCAATCGGTTCCCGACTTTTGGTTAGTGTTCTGTGAACGTTTAAAGGATATGAAATAGTCTTGTAAATAGTTTAGAATTACATTAAACTGTTCAAAGATAATCGAATAATTCCATATACAAAACAAACTCAGTGTTATCTATTCATACCATCATTTTCAAAAGCCATTTTGTAATGACCAGTATAGCAAGCAAAATGCAAGCAAGAGAAATAAACAGTCCCTAAAAAGAGAGAAAAGCATAACCAAATAGGATCATATTCCATCAATTTTTTTTCTCAACACTAAAACATGTTTTTGAGAAAATAATATCTTAATTCTATGATTAGACTTTTTTTATTTGTTTCTTTTAAATATCTTTTAAGACTTTCTTAGCGGCTAAGTTTTGGTATTAGTATTTTCGAACTGCGACTAAGAAGAAAAAATAAGGTAAAAAGTATGCACAAATTTTTTTTTTTTTTTTTTCATCGTGGGCCGCTCATCGTTGGTAAATTTTCTCATCGTGGTTTCTATTTTCGCCCACTTTCACTCCGCCACACTACCACACGTTCAATTATATTTTATATTGTCATTTAAGTACACAAAAAATATACGCATCTACAGCTGCGTCTGTTGATTAGCAATCATAGTGCATGAARGAATGCACAACACTTTATGGAAATAGCCTCATTAATTTAAAGTTTTTTGATGGCCGGATCCGATAGATTGCTACAGGTTCCACATTTCCATTCCTGTCATATTTGCTAGTAGCAAAAGACTATGTTATTAAAATCGCTATTCATTTACCATGTTTTCTATCTCAGTTTCCGCCACGCCATTAATCAAGGGTGGAGTAGCGGTTCGATTCCTGGACTCGGCATAACATCAGGGTTTGAAGATTTTGTTAGACCGTCTGTCTTTTGATTCGAGTAATTGTCTCCGGGTTCTCCAGTTTTCGTCCCTCTCACGAAATCTAAAAAGCTATATTTCAGCTCGATCTGTGAGCTAGCATATGCAACAGTGCCCTGATTTAGATCAGCCCAGAGGTTGTTTCAGGGTTCTATCTGTGAGTTAGCCGTGCCCTGACTTAGATCAGCCCAGAGGTTGATTCAGGGTTCTATCTGTGAGTTAGCCATGCCCTGACTTAGATCAGCCCAGAGGTTGTTTCAGGGTTAGATCTGTAAGTTAGCCGTGCCCTGACTTAGATCGGTCCAGAGGTTGTTTCAGGGTTAGATCTGTAAGTTAGCCGTGCTCTGAATTGCAGTATCATTCAAGAGGTTGTTTCAGTGTTTGTTAAATTTACGCCCTTTTCTTCTGCAGAGAACGGGGAGAACACATTACTGAACACCTTACATACGGATTCACACTGATATGGCTTGCCACTGAATAAGAGAATAATTCATTCAAAAAATTATCCTCTACTGGTTCACTAACAGCTTATGAGTTATGATCCGGCTGCAGTTATTTTACGCAGCGGGCAGGCGCGGCAGGTCCTTTTTTGCCCAACTAAGCACAGCCGTTCTAAGCATGTTACGCCATTTCAGGAAGTTACTCGATTTAAACTTTGTAAACAACTCAGATATTAAGTACAAATTGGTAGCTAATCTTTAGATTTGAATTATATTAACAGCGGGACTCCCGAAACATATATGATTCGAATAAAAAGGTTGTCTGTTTCCCACCCCACCCCTCCCCCCCTCAAAAAAAAGTCACTGTATTATAATTTCTGTTAGACCTTTTGCAGCTTAGCTTGCTGTAAAAAAAATTCTTCAGAAATGTGTAGCCGGGCACAAATTTTGTTTAAAAAAATCTCTGTTTAACGTAAGTCAAGTTTTTTTTCTTTTGGCTATTCGTCAGTGGTAGTAAAGATTTTCAAATCAGTAATTAATCTAGTAATTAATGGCGCACTTCTTTTCCCCTTTTTCCGTTATTATCCCCAGGCAACTATAAAAAGTTGATTGGCTGTGTTTTCCCTGATTCGTGATAGCGTGACGTCACATGTCGAACGTACGTGATGCTCGTGATACTGGAAAGTATTTGGCGGGTTTCTGAGGATAAATGGTTGGCAAAAGCTCCCGGAAAACTTATAAGAAGCGCCTGAGGACAATATTATAGACACGTATTTCAATATTCTCGTTTAGATAAAAGACATAAGTATTTTTACACAAGTGAATATAATAAATCCAGCGCGCCCATTGGTCACAATTGATGTCTTATGCGGGTATATACTAAATATAGCGCAGCTCTTTTTTTCGATTTGTCCCGCTTGCAGAGATACTTAAAATATGAAAAGAAAAAAGAAAAAACCTCGCTCTATACTACCTCATTTATTAAATTCACTTATGTTAAAAATACCAAAACAAATTTTCGCCTCAGGCTCAATGAATATCGGGAATATTTACCACGCCAAAGGAAGACTCGCACCTCGGTAAATATTCCGGCTTATCTTCACTGACCCTGAGGCGAATAATTGTTAATTATTTTATGTTTCGTGAAACTTTTTAAATTTTTTGTTTACTTATTTAGCTTATTGTTAGTCGTTTTTTGCTATTTTTTCTAGTTATTTGTTTATTTGTTTATTTTGCTTCTTTGTTGTTGTTTGTTTCTCGTTGTTGTTGTTGTTGTTGTTGTTGTTTTCTTTGCACTTTTGTTTTTTCTTTTCTACTTTTTCTCTTCCTCTCTCTTTCTTCCTTCTTCCTCGAGGAAACCCCTAACGCCATTCTCATTCTGTCCCCAGAGCTTCCCGGTCTCGTTCCACCCCCGAAGACCGAGGAGCTCTGGTTACGTGCCTACGTCAGATTTTATCCAGTATTCTCACAGGTCCCACTGGTACGAATATATATGAAAACCTATCAGCATATCTTATCACTTCTTTTCCAACCTGCTAAGGCCGTTCTATATCCAGCGCACTGATGGGTATATGTGGTCTCGCTGTACTCCCCTTCGACCTGCGGTCGCTCTCTTTGTTTTATCTTGTTTCAACAAACAACTCTACTCACATACGACATCGAGATCGACAGGATTCGAACTCAGGTCGCATGGGTGAGAGGCGGCGCATTAGCAGCGCACGCCACCAGTCGCGTGCAGGGTTCCCATTTTTCTTGGTACTGACCAAGAGAGCAGCAGTAAGGGGGACTCGCGATTGATGCCGTATATTTGCGGGTTTTACCCGGGAAATTACGAACGCGGGTACAGCAGATTTACGGAAATTCCGCG